ATCTTGAGTATTGAGCGAAGACAACTGTTAATGAAGGTCTGTAGTTTGTTTGAGATGCTCTTTATGACGCGCAGTTCAAGTCTCTGATCCATCCGTATAGTAGCACTGACTTCACATTGGAGTTGAAAATCCGGATCTTATTTTTGATTCTGAGTGCTGTTGACCTCCACACAGACTTGAGAGTAGTGAAACCTATTCTTGCTTTTCCGATTCTTGCTTTGATATCCTCGTCAGTTCCTCCTGTAGTTGAAACGATGCTTCCCAGGTTCCTCCCATTTATGCTGGTTGATTCTTGTCTGTTGTTGTTGTTGTTGTGGCTGTTGGTGGTGTTGGCCAGGAATCTTCATCACCTCTGTTTTCTCTATGTTCACCTGAAGTCCTATCTTTGATGCTTCTTCTGTTAACTTGTTGCTTTTCGCTTGCATATCTTTCAGTTTGTGGGAAATCAGACATATGTTATTGGCGAAGTCCAGATCCTCCAAGTTTTTTGTGTGAGTCCATTTTATGCCTGTTTCCTCATTGCCCTCACTGCACCACTAACTGTATGTTATTGTCAGATAGAATTATATAATATGGAATTGCACTCTACTACAGTGACAATGTCCTACACTTACATTAATAAATGCTTTGGGCGTTACATACTACTGACTTGCTGAAATGAGTAGTTTGATAACACTCACACACAAACCAGCAATTGTGATTGGTAGCCAGCTAGATTATCGAAGTGATCCATAGACCTGAAGGCTATTTCACTCGTTTGAAGTATCGAGCTCATCAGTGATGTACCCGGTTTGACTCAACTGAGAGAACCCAGTCAGTTCAAACCATCAACAGTGTTGTAGGAACTTAAATCTAGACAAACAAATAATGCTCTAACTTTTCCAAAAATTGAATTGAACCGAAGGAAAACGTATTAAAAATGTGATAGTCGACTTATTTGATCAAGAACACATACAGCAACGAAGAGATCGCTTTCTATGCGACTTCATTTCAAAGTTTTATGGTAACTAAAAGGCTTTATTATGTATAATTTTAACTGACAGTAAAGGTTAGAGGTTATTGCCAGTTAGCAACAAAAATACATCGCAACGTATTAGAAATAACAATTTAATTCAATTTTAGATTTTTCCATCGATTGATTAGACTGAAGGGCTCACTCTCAGGTTGACGTGTCAGCTACTTGTGCAGATGTTTCGACGATGTCTGGGCATGTAATTAGACGTTCACTGGTGGATGATGGCTAGCAGTGGAATACAGGATGCGCATTTCAGCTGTCCGATTTAGGACTCGTCTACTGGACGTACCTGCTAGTCACCATCCACCACATAACTTCTAATTACATGCCCAGACATTGTCGACGCATCTTCACAAGGCAGCATGTCAACCTGAGACCGAGCACTTCGGTTTAATCAATCGACGATAAAGTTTTAAATTGAATTAACTAATTATTACGACCCGTTGCACAAGAGGTGGCTCTCGTGGCCCAAGTGGTCTAATGAATAATGCTTCAGCTGGCGTTTGAAAATGTGGGCACTGGGTTCGAGCCTCGGTGGGAACATCATCACTGACTCACTGGGGAATGCAGATACATCCAGTTAGCTGACGAGTCTCAAACAGTGATGAGAAATGCGCATCAAACTGGATTCCATTGCTATTCACCATCCACCAGTTAACTTCTAGAAATGACAGTGTTTGAAAAATGGTGGATGATCCTACATAATTGAGGCAGTTGACGACTAATTAGTTAATGGATGGATGGCTATCTGGAAAATAATTGATCATAATGTTGAAAGGAAAGTGGAGGAGAGTAAGCAGCTCAGTTCTGGAAGACATTAATACTTCCAGTCATTCTGTCTTAGAGAAGACTTCATTTATAAACAGACATGAAGTAAGATGAAGACAGTGGAGAGGATTTTGCCTACAACTTCTTCACGAATCGACTGTTCTAGGAATGCATTAGGAAAAACGACAACTTTATGTTCAAGACCGTATACTTCAACCTCTTTTACTACCATGGCCTTGGTATGAAATTTATTTCCATTGATTTGTTGCACAATAGACTCTAATGAGTCTTTTTATTTTCAAGACTTGGTTTGTAGGGATTAGATTTGGGTTTTACGAGTTTGACCACGGATTGGTATCAGTTAGAGAACCATTGACATCCCGCACTGGAGTACTGGACAGCTGTTTCATTGTCGTTTGGGAATCATCGTCAGTTCTCACCCACCACTTGGTGGTAGAACCCAGGACCTTTGGGCTACTAGGCAAGATGGCTCGTAGACCATTCAGCCACTGGGACCCGACTCCTCAATGACCAGATCATGAATTCTAACTTCTCTCAATTCGTGATTTAGCGTGACTGGCACTAACCAATGTCCTCGGTGGGACATCCATCCTCAATTTGTGTAATCGTGATTCAATTCAGTTTTTCTCTTATTCCCTATCGATTATTTTCCAAATGATCATTCATCAGTTAACTAACTGGTTAACAACTCTCTCTCTCCCTTTCGATTACGTCCACTATATTTCACACATTGTTATTTCTCAAATACTTTAATTTATTTTGATCACTGATTGACAATAACCCTTTGACCTTTATTGTCAGTACACTTTGTGTAGCATTGAAGAGAAAGAAGTTAAGGAAATGAAGAATTTGTTTTGAATTGATTAAAAATGCCCATTAAAATTTTTTTTTCAAAAGAATGGTTACTGAAGAAAGAATATTCTTTTCAATAACCTGCTCTTCATCAGGTTCTACAGTTATGTATCCATTCATAATAGTCAATGAATTAGTGATATTAACAACATGAATGTTGTTTAAATAACATCGAATCAACAATAATAGTGTTAATGGATTACAGTTCGATAGTGTCAACACGACAGTACATACTGAATATCAGACAGGCGAATGAGGAAGATGATAATACAAATTCATGAATTCATAGTGTCCACTGAAGGCCGACTAGGACAGTATTAGTGGCTAGCTGGACTTGCTTCTTTTTCTGCACACACACAAAACACTGGTTGTTTCACATGAATCACGATAGTCTCAGCTGTTTGGAATCTCCGGTACCTTGATGTTTTTGGCAAATTTTTTGGTCGGCACACGGTAGATAATGGAGAAGGATTCGTTAATGCTGGATTTGTTGTCGGCCGGTTTAGACCAGGTGGTCCAACGTCGAACTGTTGATGGTTTTTACTACACCTTTATTTAGCCATACCACACTGGTTGATGTTGCCAAGGGAGTAGGAGAAATCCAGTTGCTAGAGTGATGGCCTGTATAACTCGCTCCACCATAAGCACAGTTGAACTGGGAGATACTATTAGAAGAAGTGGCTAATTTAGGCACTTCATCTTTCAACTGGTGGAGCCACAACGAGCTGTGTAGAAGATAAAACTTGTAGTTTGCCAGCATTAAAAGTTGTTCGAACTGATTTTCTTAACTTCTTCGTAATAATTTCGCTAGGTGTATCGCCCTCGAATTGAAGTCATATATAAAGAGGCTTCTTGTTTACGGATAGTGAGTAATCCTTGTCAACTTTCTTAGCATTATGTTTCCTGTTTCGTTTTTACATTCCTTTGCAATCTGAGTTGAATATAAATCTTCAATCTTTGAAGTTTCACTAGAAGTGATGTGGTCTTTTACGGAGTAGGGTTGCTGCTAGCCTCACTCCCGACCATCTGCCTTTATTGTGTTCACGAAGGGCACTTCGTACAAGCTACAGACCTTCATCAACATTTGTCTTCTCTTCACTACTCAAGATCAGATGGCTGGCCAGATAAGATCAGCAACAGGGAGGGATTTCCGGCAATGAACGAACCAACCCAGCAGGAACCAATTATGCGACAAATAGGCAGGAGGAAATGGAAGTGGATTGGCCATACTCTGAGAAAACAAACCATCAAGTGACATCGTACGCCAGGCCATTGTTAAAGTGGCACTCGCGAGTTGGTCGTTAGCGAGAGGGTGACATGGAGAAGGAGGTCGTATGGAGAGGAGATGAAAGCATGTGGGCAGACGTGGAGCCAGGTGAAAACATCGGTGGAGAACCGAACATAATGGAGACGTACAGCTGAATCCCTATGTTTCTCTAGGAACCAAAGGAAACAATAATAATGATAAAAGTTAAAGCTAAGCAAGGTTTAGTAGTGCGTCAGCTGAGAATTGAACCCGGATCATCTGCGTAGCTGACAGGTAGGCTGCCATTCATCGCACCATCGAAGCAACTGTACGCACTAGATATATTCAACAGTAATAATGCATTAATCAATAACTAGATGTGAATGTGGTTTATCATTGTCTTCAATTCCATTTATGCTTTTACTTTCTATTTTATACAAAGTCACTTAGACTAAATAATTTTATTATTATTAATATTATTATTATTCCCTTGGGTTCCGAGTAGAACATAGTTCTTCTTCAACACATCGCCATTTCAATCTGTACCAGGTAGTCCTTTTTATCTGGTACCATGATTGCCCAAAAGCTTTGTTTTCCTCCATGTCACCCTTGTATCCACGCCTAACTCATTGTTTATCATTCGGGTTCCACTCAAGGAGTTGAATGGCATGTGATGCTATACACTCAATTGTCTCCTCAGCATGTGCCCACTACATCCTGATTTGTTTACACTTTCAAGTACCTTTTGAAGACATGTCGTACTGTTACAATACTTTCTTGTGTGTGTGTGTGTTTGTGTGTCATATTAAAGTATACTTGAATGGTGGGCTAACATCAGGAGTTTTACACATTTTTCGACAATGTACTTATTGTCTAACTGTATAATAACAATCTACTGCAATGCAAAATTGGCCAATCAAAATTAAGATATTATTCGACCAATGAAAATTGAACAACATTTTTGTTTAAACAATTATTACCGCGTCATCCGTTTGCAAAATGGACGAAACTCTCGAATTAACTGAACAAAATTGTAAATAAATCTTTTTTTTTTACTAAAAAAAATACCCGAATTAATAATAAACAATATTTATAATAATGGCAAGTGTGCCATGTTTTACAAATAACAGTAATAATAACAATAACAATAATCTCAGCTTACATTCAACATCGAAAATTGAATGTCAACAGAACAACACATCACAGAAGTCATTTACTGATACCGACAACTTAATACCACCTCTTATTGACTTATCATCCCCCTCATTCTTAAATGAAGATGAAAAGCCCCAAGAAACTTCACCGGAAGATGTAAACAATACACCATCGATGGAATTATGCACAGTTAATTCTCGAAGTGGAATATTGTCATCATCACCATCATTAGACATTAACAATACACCTAAAGATCGGATAATAAATTCCAGCATAAAACTTGATTCAAATAAATCTCCTACGAGAAATACAACAACAACCACAACAACAACTGCCACTGCATCCTCTTCAACAACCTCGACACCTTTGAATCGTGGATCACGTCATTGGAAAAATGTTCAGTGCACAATGAAAGTGGTACTGGCGACAATGGATCATGTAAAGCGTAGACGTAAAACAAATTATAACATTGCAGCTAGAAGAGATTCATTTATGGATCGTTTTTCAACACAACGACGTGGTACCTATGCTGCAGAGGAATACTTAAATGACGCGACGTTTAATGATCAGCTGTATGCACTGAAGAGATCAGATAATCTATTGAGCGGCTTAGAAGATATTGATAAGAAGGTTGATTATGCTGACGGGGAACAGAATACAACAGCACCAACTACGACAACAGCCATCAGTGGAATGGATGATAGTAGTCAGCGTATAAAATATTCTGGTAGTTATAAAGAGATTAGTAGTACACCTGAAAAAGAATACCTTTTAGCTCATACAACCAGTGTACCACACGGTGATGAGTCATTCTCCTTACATCCACCCAAACCAGCTAGTAATCACTGTATGAATAAGGGAAGAAATTTCAGTGATGAATTATCAAAATCCGACAAATTAGAGGTGGATGGAGAGAAGGGTAATCCGAAAAACTCTACGCTCTCAGCTTTCTATAAAAAATCTCATATGTATATTGTTTTTCATCCTCACAGTACAGGTTATGTCATCTGGCTGACATTTGTCTCCTTGGCACTGTTGTACAACCTATGGACACCGATTGCCCGCCAGGCTTTTGATGAATTACAATCAAAATATCAGACAATTTGGCTATCATTCGATATTGTCGCTGATATCACCTATCTTATTGATATATTTGTTCAGTGTAATACAAGCTATCTGAAATGTGGTTTAAAAGTCCGCGATCATCAAAAACTAGCTATGCGTTATTTAAAATCGTATCAATTCCTTCTAGATGTTGCATCACTGATCCCATTGGATTTATTACAGTTTAAATTTGGTGTCCAACCAATGTTACGTTTCCCGAGATTTTTAAAGTGTTATCGATGTCGTGAATGGAAACTTCGTGTGGAGAATCGGACTATATTTCCAAATATATGGAGAGTATTAAATTTGATACATATTCTGTTTTTAGGCTGTCATTGGTTTGCAGCCTTCTACTACTTGATATCAAAGTATGAAGGATTTAAAAGCCCATGGGGATATCAACCTTACGCGGATTTAGAACAGGTGACAATGTCAAGAAGATATTTAAAATCATTCTATTGGGCAACGCTAACACTGACTACAATCGGGGATTTAAATTCACCCTCCAGTAGTATAGAGTAAGTGAAATGTTTTAAATTGATGTTAAATTTGAAGAAAAAAATCGATATATATATATTTTATTGATTTATCTAATCGATCAATACACGTAAATGACTAACGAGTTAAGCATGGGAATCGTATTATGCCTTAATTATTTAGATATGTCATGTGATTAATAATTTAAAAGTTAATATCTTATCGATTTTTTTCGTGTGTGTAAAGCTTCTGACACTTCTAAACGATGATTGATTATCTTTTGACCAATCGAAAAAGATTTTACATGATAGTGATAATCATGATGAAAATAGTTTCTGTCATTGATGCGATCTTAAATTTCAACACCAGCAGTACTAGAAAGAAAATTACAACTTTGGAGATATTTTGTTGGGGGTTGTTTGAAAACGCCAAGAAAGAAAAAAAGAGTAATTTTAAAAATAGAACTACTTATTGTATAGTTGACAAGCTCATGTGCACATATCACTTGTTTCTACAGCGATATTTTATTGGCTACACAATTAGTTATAAAAAGAATTTAAAAAATCAGAAAAATCTTATCAAGTAGTATACTTTAAAAAAAATGTTTATACTTTTTTCGCGAATGCAGAGGAACGATCGATAAAATAATCAATTTCTGATAAAGGCACATAAAGTTAAGTAATACTAAAATTATCATTATTAACTGACTTCTATAGGTGGAATTTATCTGAAATTCTCTTAGGAGGGGGGGAGTGGTGACTAGCAGGGCCTAGGAAGTCATCGAGTGTAAAGACAAATACTCAGCGAGGACACTGACTATCAATCGGTTTCTATATTTTTTGCGAATTTGCAAAAGTGAGGACTGATCAGATGGCTATTAAATTCCGCCTTTGTAACCTGAAGGTCCTGAGGTCCACCTTTGTTGGTTTGATCAATGCGCACAATTCAGCGTTCTCAAAGTAGGGCGAGACAACCGCGAAGTACCATCTCGTTTGGGGATGGGTCTGAGGATGACATAGAGGAGATGAGAGACAATGGGCAATCGTGGGGCCAGCTCAAATATGGCCTCAAAGAATATGACAAGATGGAGATATACTGTTGAAGGTATATTTTTCACTCGGAACCAAAGGGAACAACAATAATAAAGGACTGAAGTTTGTACATGATCAAACTAGAAATTATTATTATTCCCTTGCGTTCCGAGTGGAGCATGAGGCTGGCTGGCTTCAAAAACACATCTCCACTTTGTTCTGTTTTCTGCCGTCCTCTTCAGCTGGTTAGCTCCACGATTGACCAAACTCTCTCATCTTTTCCTCACACTATCTCCTCCATGTCACCATCGCACTGACAACCCACTCATCGCGTGCTTCCCACTTGGTTTCCACTCGAGTGATGGCCTGCATTGCGTGCGATGTCATTCGGTGGCCTCCTCAATATATGCACGATCCATCTCGGGCTCTTGCTTGTTGGTTTGTTCCCATAATTTTTTGTTGCAAACTAGAAAAAAGCAAGTGGATTTACCGGGTTTTTTGGTGGAAGGCTAAAATATTGAAACTCATAACGAACTATTATTACTGTTATTCATATTCATTCCTTGGGTTCCGAGTGGAAGTTGGAGCTCCAGCGGTACACCACTGCCATCACCGTCATCATTACACTTGGTTCTCTTTAACATCACTGTCAGATATCTCCGCAACTGACCAACTCATTGCCTATCATTTAAGTTCCACTTGAGGGTTGGACTGTCATGTTTTGTCTTCATAACACTTAAAGACTCCCCTCAGGTGGTTTGAATAGGTTCGGCTGTTCAAGCTGGGTGAAACCGGCTACACCATTGATAGGCTTCTCCCCCAACCAGCTCAGATGGCCGCTCCGTGGTGTTCACATCACATCGATCTGGCTCGCTGGCTAGCAATCACTACTGGTTGATGCATGGTTGCTATGCGACTACTCATCCCAATCAGTCAATCAATACTGTTTATGGCATTATGCAGATTGCATACTTTGATCTGTACAACTTGGTCTCGAAAGGAAACTACGGTAAAGTTTCTTGGTCTGGCTCAAATGGTCTTAAACTAAATCCAACCAAATGTAATACTGTTGATTTCAGCTTGAGAAGTGAAAAAGATATGCATGGATTGGTCCAATCTCATGATTGTTGTAATATTGATGGTACCATGATAGAGAGTAAGTCATGTGTTTCTTATCTTGGCATTAGTTTCTCTTCAAACCTTTGCTGGTCATCTCACATTCTTATAGTTTCTAAGAAAGTTTTCCGTCTGACTTATTACATAAAGAAGTTGAGGCACTCAGGTATAACCCAATCTCTTCTCATACAATTTATTAATTCATGTGTTTTGCCCATCATTCTTTATTGTTCTCCATTATTCTTCCCTGGGCTACTCAAAAAAGACCATATAATACTACGAAGAACATTGAGGGCTGTAAGTAGGGTCAGTGCTATCCCTTTGACTCAACTAACTGACACTGTTGTCAATAGGCATATGAATTCTTGTAAACACTTAGCTAAAGTTATCTTGTCTGATAGTGAACATCCTCTTTATTCACATTTGTTTCCTTGTACCTCTTCGGGTAAGACCAGAAGAAATTTCATAAACATTTATGCTCGTACTACAAAATATAAAAATTCGACCGTACCATATTTGGCACGAGTATTGTGTGAAGAGACGAATATCAGAAAAGAACTTTTACAACTTTTAAATCATTAACTAAACTATAAAATGTAATGATGCATATTATTGCATGTGTGATTTGTTATATTATTTATTTATTATTCACTGTGACCTAGAAATGGTGTGATTTTGTTGGGGTTTTTATTTTTTCCTATTAATTATCAATATTTTTAACATTTCATACATTTATATAATTATAAAAAGAGTTAAACCAATGTAATATGTAAAATGAAACGCTGAAAATTCCATGCTGTAAATTGTTATTGTTGTGGAATAAAGTGATTATTATCATTATTCACTAGAACTGTGAATTGGTTTCCCCGTCTATGCCTATGACCAATCCATCTTCATTTACCTTCTGCACGATGGACTACTTAATTTGTTTCTTTTTTGATATTGTCAGGAACTGCTAGAACTAGATTGCATCACGAATTCACTAAAACTGAAATTTTAATACATTATTCCTCCCTCCGTTACCATTAGACCAAAACAGCTCGATGTTAGCTTTAGAGTGTTGCCTATTTTGGTAGCTTGAGGACTAACTTTTGAAGAACACCGTGTCACATCCACTCCTTTGCATTCAGAGTGGAATACAGGGCTCTGATAGGACATCTGCATGCCAAGTAATCCACAACGGGAAGCTCACGGAATCCTTCGAAGTGAAGACAGGAGTAAGACAGGGTTGCCTACTATCGCCAATGATTTTCCTGATTACAGTAGACTGGATAATGCGACAAACAACGGGCAATGAGGAAACAGGCATAAAATGGACTCACACAAAGAACTTGGAGGATCTGGACTTCGCCGATGATATATGCCTGATTTCCCACAAACTGGAAGATATGCAAGTGAAAAGTAACAAGTTGGCAGAAGAAGCATCAAAGATAGGACTCCAGGTGAACATAGAAAAAACAGAGGTGATGAAGATCCCTGGCCAACACCAACAACAACAACAGACAGCAATCAGCATAAATGGAAAAAACCTGAAAGAAACTACCTCCTTCACCTACTTGGGAAGCATTGTTTCAACTACAGGCGGAACTGACGAGGATATCAAAGCAAGGATCGGGAAAGCAAGGCAAGCTTTCATTACTCTCAAGTCTGTGTGGAGGACAACATCATTCAGCGTCAAAAATAAGATCGGGATTTTCAACTCCAATGTGAAGTCAGTACTACTATACGGATCAGAGACTTGGCGTGTCACAAAGAGCACCTCAAACAAGCTACAGACCTTCATTAACAGATGTCTTCGCTCAATACTCAAGATCAGATGGCCGGAAAGGATCAGCAACAAAGATCTCTGGGAGCGAACCAACCAGGAACCCATTGTGAAACAAATAGGCAGGAAAAAATGGAGATGGATTGGCCACACTCTGAGGAAACCAGCAAGTGACATCACTAGACAAGCCCTCGAGTGGAACCCGAAAGGGAAGCGGCGAGTTGGTCGTCCAAGGGCGACCTGGAGGAGATCATGTGAAGAGGAGATGAAAGCATGTGGGCAGACCTGGAGCCAGGTGAAAACTCTAGCAGAGAATCGAACGCAATGGAGACGCATGGCTGAAGCCCTATGTTCCTCTAGGAACTAAAGGAAATAATAATAATAATAAATAATAACTGTACTTTACCCTCTGAATTCAACCCCCTCTCCACACTATCGCCATCCTGACCATTTGATCTTCAATGTGGAACGAGGATAGCTGTTGATGAAAATTCCGCGACAGCCTTCAGGGAATGCCATGCATGGCAAGTCTTTGACTGACATAAGTGCTGAAAATCCAACTCATGAACACTGAACACACTTGTTTGTTTTTCCTTTTCTATCGCTGCCTAAACGCCGTCATCTGTGATGTCGCCAGTAGCTGAAACTATGCTTCTCACATCAGTTAAGTAAGAGAAGTGGCCCCTGTTGATGGTGATTGATGCCCGTTATCGTTGTTGGTTGAGTATTTTCATCATCTTTGTCCTCTTTATATTTTTTTTGAATTTCTGACCACCTCTTCTGCCAATTTGTCGGTTTTCGCCTGTAGTATTTGCGACACTCGACATAAATCATCCCACAAAGTCGAGAACTCGTAGAGTATTTCCGTCGATCCAACACATACCCTTTTTCTTGCTTTCCATGGTCTATTGCTTGACTGAGGTGACCACATTCAGGAATATCATGGGCAATAGTAAACAGCTTTGTCTTGACCATGAACTTTAGTTGAATGTAATCACCTAAATTCTGATGCAAAAGTACACGCTGTTTAAAGTGTTTAACAAAAGTAGACTAATATTTGTAGGTTTGAGGTCAAATTTTGATCACAGCTCATACAATTTTGTTTGTTTATTATATTTTTGGATGACTG